TTTTCATGCAGCTAGAGATATTCTTTCCCATATAAACATCTCCTTTTATATGGGGATTCCTTTGGTCATTACAGTCCCAGCTCAATCTTAAACTCAATGGAGTTCTGTGAGTAAGAGAGGAATTTTCATAAGGTCAGTGAAGGCCGAGCACAGTCAGTTCGTGTCAGAAACTGGTCAAGAGGGGCGAGAGAGATCGTATATGGGCAGGGTCCTCGGGGTTCAATCCCCAGTGTCCCAGATGGTCCCTGGAGCACTGCAAGGAGTAATTCCTCAGTGCAGTCAGGAGCAAGCACTGAGCACGGCCAGATGTGGCCCCAAAACAAAAATTCAAAAAATTCAAAAAGGTAATCCTGAAAATGGTAAGCAATGCGGGTGTGGCCGCCAACAAAACAAAACAAACTAACCAAAATACCTGTAGAGAGAAGGAAGGAAAAAGAAAGAAAAGACCCACAGGGAAGGAAGGAAAAGAAAGCGAGCAAGCAAAAGATAGAAAGGAGTAGAAAAAGAGAGGGGGGGACGAGGAGGAAGCGAAGGAGGGAGGGAGGGAGGGAGGGAAGGAGGGAGGGAGGGAAGGAGGGAAGGAGGGAGGGCAGAGGGAGGGAAAGAGGGAGGAGGAGGAGGGAGAGAGCTGAGTCCCTTGCTAGCATGGGCGAGACCCTGCATCTGATCCAGCACGAGGGTCCTGTGCATGGGAGCATTGGGTCTGGCTGAATGGCAGAGCCCGGCATCACCTGGGAGTGGCCTCAGTCCCCACAGCACCACTGAGGGTGACCCAGTTAAGGAAAGAAACTGAACTCCATTATGACAGCAAGAACTATAGTTTGCAGAGCTGCTGCCGCCTTTCCTCCCTCTAACCACCACGTGTCACAGCACAGCCAAGGCTCTTCCACGTGACTGAGGCACAGGCTGGATTTTGTTCCTTCTCTTCTCAAGGACTAACGCACGACAAAGTCCACTCCTCTACCAGAGAAAGCAAATGTCTAAAATGTGTCTCCCTAAACTTAGGCAACAAAGCTTGGTGTTTGGTGTTTGTTTAAAACCTAAAATAGGGCAATCCAGACCGGCCCAGTCCACTCAAGGGGAGACTAAATGAACCCCAACACAAGAGCCGACGCATTGCAGGGTGCAAGGGAATAATCCGAGCCCTCCTCTGGCCCCAAAGAAGGGGCAGCCTGACTGCTGGACTGGGACTGCAGCCATGGCCCGGACCACAACGTCTCTGGCTCTCTTAAAGAAGGAGGGAAAAAAACCTTTGCAAATGACACAAGCTTGTGAGCCTTTTCGATGGCAAGCCTGGGCTGGGAGGGAGCTGGAAGGCTGGAGTACACGCACTGCGGGCCGCAGCTAGTGTCCCAGGCCACTGCCTGGAGCAAACCAAGCAGTGCCAGGTGAAGCCCGCACACCAAAAAAATAAGTAAAATAGAACATCTTCAGTTCTTATTACTTGTTTAAAAGAAAACAGTGATTTTTGGAAAGAGAAAAGAGCACTTTCCAGACAACTTGGAAAAATGAGGAACTTCAAGGAGGGGCGGGGGGGGGGGGGGAAGAACCCTTTCAGTGACCTCAAAAAGAAAGCAAACCTCTTCTTGGGCAGGTCTTCAATTTGGTACAGACAAAGGGAGATTGATTACATCAGAAAATCTAAGATCTACCTGTTTAGAATTACACCTTTATACCCTAGACCCTGGAAAGGAGGCCTTGAAGTTATGATCTACGAGATAATGATCTTAAATTCCTTATCAACAGCAGGAAGTGTATCACCAGTGGTAAAAAGGAAAAAAAATATGAAGGGAACTTTTCTTCTCACATTCAAGTACATCTTTAATCTGTCTAGGCATCCAGACAAATAGATACTCAAGAAGTCAAACAGTAAAGAATATCGTTAAAATACCACCTTAAGACTCACAAAAGGTAAACCTTAGACAAGCAGTACCACTTGCACTGATCAGGCAATTACACAAAAGAATAATTCATTCAGAATAAGCCTCGTGAGAAAACCCAACCGATAACTGAGTCAGAACTGATGAGTGAGGCACTACCTTACCAAGATAAAGCAGGGAGATAGTGATACTGAAATGTATTAAACAAAACCTACAGATAATGTTCCCATGACCTTTCCTCACTGTTCATGATACCATGGGCAGGGGAAAGAATTTTAATGAATCCGTGAAGGCCATCAAAAAGACAGTCAGAATACACTTCTCAAGAAGACTTTGGGATGTCTTATTGCCAAGTTCTTCCTTCCGTGTCAGGTGCAGGAAGTGTAGACCCACCTAAGGCTAATCAGTTAATACCTTGATAGGAGGAGGAACAATCATTACCCAACTCTGTGATCCTGGGGGATGAAACATTTCCTCTCTCCATCTATCAAGCAATTATCATTGGTAGTGGTAACAATTTACATAGCTTGCATCAATCAATGGCATTAATATCAAAGAATCCAAATAACAGCAAAGGCTGACGTTAACAGCACACTTACCACAGCTGGAACAGACCCTGTGCTAGGCAATATCCATTACTTGTACTCTATTGCTCAGTTCCTGAGCAACTGAGCTCAGGGAACTCAGTTGAGTCCAAAGGGTAGGTGCCGCCATTATCTAGCTGTCTGAGGAGGAAGCTGAGGGCCAGAATGGCTAAGTACCACTAAGGCAGATGAATGGAATACAGCCAGCTCTTGAATTTGCTCTGAATTACTCCATCACTCTGACCTCCTAAGTATACTATTGTGGTTTTGGTGTTTCATTTGGTGTTGGTCTTCTCGTGCTGGGAGGGTTACACTGTTTTGAGAGAGAACCAGAGCCTATGCCGCAGTTATGACTTAGTGGTGGGATGCAAGTTTTTCATGTGTGAGGTCGTAGGGTTTGATCCTTGGCATCACAAATATTACTAAGTAAATAAATCCATAACTAGAAAAAAACTACTTGCTCGTAGCTTTTAAAGATTTATTTTTTTAAGCAGTTAGTAGTCATAGAGGATAAATTAAAGATTAATACACAGGAGAGAGCTCAAAAGAATGAGGGCATACTTTTCATGCAGAAGAAGCCTAAGGGTCAATCTCAGAACACTATGGTCACCTGAGCACTGCTAGGAGTGATCCCTAAGAACAAAGCCAGAAATAGCCCCTAAGCACTGTCAGGTATAGTACTAACTCCTTTTTCCCCCGCCCCCAATTAAAGACTAATATACAAGGAGTACTTTGAAAGTCCAATAGCTGCCGCTCAACCATATACACATACAAGGTACGTGTGTATGAGTATACATGATTGTGTACATAGGATAACCATCTGCCTCCCTTAGATAACTATGACCTGCTTAAAAAGCAAGAAGGTTGACTGATAAAGACAGATTAATCTATTGGGATGTGGGGTTGGGGGAGCGTCATTTCCAAGCAGTGCTTAAGGAACCTGAAGGTCCCTTAACCAGGCTGGCCAGAGGCTCAATGCTAGAGGCTGGGAACCAGGGGGAGGCACTGAGGGCATTTTCTGCTCCAGCACTGTGGGGCTGGGGACCACCTAGGCTACCCCATTGACACTCAGGGGACTGTGTTGTGCTTGAGACCAAAGCAGATCAGCCACATGCAAGGCATGTACCTTAGTTTTAATGGAAGCACTTGTAAGACCAGAGGTAGCACTGTAGCACTGTCCTCCCGTTGCTCATCGGTTTGCTTGAGCGGGCCCAGTAACGTCTCCATTGTTAGACTTCTTGTTACTGTGTTTGGCATATCGAATATGTCACAGGGAGCTTCCCAGGCTTTGCGGTGCGGGCGAGATACTCTTGGTACCTTGCCGAGCTCTCCCAGATGGGCAGAGGAACTGAACCCGGGTAGGCTGGGTCGGCCGTGTGCAAGGCAAACGCACTACCCACTGTGCTATCGCTCCAGCCCAGAGGTATGGTTTTAAAACTTTATGCCTGGAAAATGGCAGAAATGATAACTGCCTTTCGAAGTGCTTGGTTTTGAAAGCACTGTAGTTTACCAGAGAGGTTCAGTGGCTGCACCTAGCATTTACTTGATTTTGGTGTCATTTTCTGCAGGGATCACCCTTTTCCTATTTTATTTTAGGCAATTTAAATTTATTTTAAGACAGATGGGGTTTTCTTTTTTAAGTGAATCACCGTGAGGTACAGTTACAGGCTTACAAACTTTCGTGCTTGTGCTTCAGTCATACAATGATCAAGTACCCATCCCTCCACCAGTGCCCATTTTCCACTACCAATGGTCCCAGCATCCCTCCCATCACCTCCACCCCATCCCCTCCACCCTACGCCGCCTCTGTGGCAGGGAATTCTCTTTTTCTCTCTTTCTTTTTGGGTGTTGTGGTTTGCAATAGAGTTATTAAGTGGCCATCATGTTCGGTCTACAGTCTACTTTCAGCCTGCATCTCCCATCCAGAGAGGGTCCTCCTAGCACCCTTTACTTAGTGGTCTTCTCCATCTGAGCTGGCTTTCCCCCCAGCATGTGAGGCCGGCTTCTAAGCTGTGGAGTGATCCTTCTGGTACTTATCTCTACTATTCTTGGGTGTTAGTCTCCCAGTCTACGACAGATGATTTCTTGATTCTACCACTTCAATTTTTATTTTTATTGAGAATCACACAGAGCTGGGCTGTAATACTTCATTTCACCAGTAGGTGTCATGATCGGAAACTGTATTAAGATGTCAGGTTTAGAGGAAAACAAGGTGATTCCAGTTGTATTCACTTTGAATGTTGAGAATTTCTTCTTTCCTTACACAGAATACTGCTCACTGAATTACCAATGCTGGTAGCAAATAAGCGCCTAGTTACAAATAATAATATTCTATATAAACATTTTTACATCAGTGCTAATAATGGCCTCATGCTTTGCCCCCCTTCTTACTATAAAAGTAAAAAAGCGTTTACTTTTATAATGTGAAGCCTAAACTGTTACCAAGTCATCGCTTTCAACGGAAATGGTTTTGATGGAGACAAGGAGTGTGCAGTCAACATAGGAAGTCATGGCACACGTAGAAGTCCCAACTCACCGCTGCTGCCGCAGTCTGCACAGGAGAGGAGTTCTTCCGGCTTCTTTTCACGATTTGATTCTTTTGTCCCCAGACAGAAGCTACATATTGGAATGGGATCGGCACGGGGCTATGACAAAATTTAAACAGAAAAATGCAGTTAGTTTCCCACTTAAAAATAAATGAGTAACGTTTTAAAATTTTTTCTTTAAGAAAAACTGCTGACTAAAATACTCAGACCCCTTCCTAATAAAAAAAAAATTGCCTAACCTCATTTGGTACCTGACCCTGCTACCTTGAAAACGTATTGACACAGATGTTAAAAGAGCATGAAGTAATTTTATCAAAGCAATAAAACCTAATGTCTTTATATATATTGAACATGAACATTATTAGGCACTCATTAGAAATCCTATTTGTCCCCATGATTTATAGACCTATAAACTGGCATCTGTTAAATACTATAGTCAATGGATATCATCTAACTGGTATAGATTGCTTAAACTATCAAATATTTTAGTGCAGGTTTTATTCACTATGCTATTAAATATTTGGCATAAATTATTTTTTAGCTAAAAATTTTAAGGCAAGCACTTAATTTTGAAGAATCACTAAATGAGACGAAAAGCCTACTAACAGCCCTTTGTGGCACCAATCCCAACCAGGATGGGGAGTCAGCTCAAAGGAACTTGCTTTGCATGTGAGAACCCCAAGTTCAATCCCTTCTCGTGACACCCAAGCACCATAGGTGGGTGTGACCCCAGGACAAATCCTGCTCAAAACCCAAAAGATTTGTTATAAATTCTCAATCGCTTATATCCCCACTTCATTAAAAAGTATCTACACTGCTACCATCTTTAACTCACTAACGGAACTGCTTTTAACAATGACTACATCTGCATTCATATTTTTATCATTTTAGCATTTGTTGAGTTTAAAAAAAATTTAATGGGGTCACCATGAGATACACAGTTACAAAGTTGTTCATGACTGAGTTTCGGTCAGACAGTGTTCCAACACCCATTCCTTCTCTGCCACCAATGTGCCAGTTACCCTCCTGTCCCTGCAGCCTGTCTCTGTGGCAGATACCCCGCTCTCTCCCTCCCTCTGCCCCCCCCCCCCAATTTCATCTCGCCCGCCATCCCTTCCTTTTTCTTTCAGGCACTGTGGCTTGAAAAACTGTTACTGAAAGGGTATCACTGCATATATTTTAGTGTCTATATTGTTATTTATAACTAGTAGCATTACTAGTACTCCCATCCATATGAATAGCTGATTATACCTACAGATCTGGTCATGTTATTCTGAACAGCCAAAAATGTATGGAAACTACAATTTTATTACATATTCCAAGCCATTACACACGCTGTCTCCTAGTTATCTGAATGTGGCTGTAATGTATTTATATATGAATCTCATGAATCAAAAATTTAGGGTGAGAAAACTTAGCATAATCACAAATGTTTTTTAATGTAAATGAAAAGCAAGATTTTGCTAGATATAACTTTTCTAATTATAAATCAGCAAAGAATACACTGCATTTGTTCAGTTATTCTATCTCAAATGCCCAGATCATTGCTTGATATATAATATGAACTCAAAATATACTTGAGAATTGAATAAATGAAAGAAACATGCTAGCTAGAAAAATACCACCTAACATTTAAAATAATATTTCAATGGCTGAAATGATTTCAACAAATGCACTGGTTGGTTTACTGGGGCAATATTCATAAAAAAAATACAACTCATCTTATGATGAAGCGTTTTTGGATTTGTTCAATATGTCTATTAATTTTATTTCATATTATGAGCATTCATTCTCTTACCTTGTTTTCAGTTTAATTTATTCTCTTAATATACACAAGCTTTACCTTCAGAGATGGCATGCAAATATATTTTTGTAGACTTCGATAAAAGACTTATCTAAAAATATATATATATACATATATATAGTAGCCTTTTATTGAAGGATACAAAAACCCGATGCTACCAACTTTTTTTAATTGGCAAGCGACAACAAATTGGTCACTAACTCTAGTCATATTTTTTGAAATGCCAGATAATCAGCACTGCATAATTATGGATCTATAGTTATTACTTGCAACCACTCAACTGCAGTACCTGGGGAACACTTTTGTTCCTTTAAATAGCAATTAAAAGAACAATCTGGTTTTAAAGTGACAACATTCCCCTGATAGATTCTAGCTAAAACTCAGTGTTTATACTAATGGGATTCCTGCTTTCATCTGCTGTAACAATGCTCAAGACATTGCTGCCATCCTTGCAGTGATAAATAATTTACAAAATGTCACATATCATTCATGCAATGAAACAAAACCAAATCAGCAATTGCATTTTTCTTTCCCAGATGAATTTTTAACCGTAAGACAGGCATGGCCATCAGCCAGCATTCATGCTCATTTTTCGCTCTTAACTAAAGGTAACACAAAGGACAAAGGTTGCTAGTAGTTCACGGCCAGAAAGACTGAGGTCCCACACTCTACCTAATAACAGAAAACATAGATGCTATCACTTCATGATATTTTCATACACTTAGGATAACTATCTCACAATACTCTATAAAACTACTGCATTATACAGAACTGTCTGCCCTACTGAATTATTGATAATTCAAAGCACTTTTTGCTAACCTCAGCTGAGTCTAATTAACTTTTAAAAATTGTCACTTGTATAAAATGAAACTTTTGCAGTAATGTATGTAAATGGGTCACAGAATTAGTACAATTCACTATTCTCAATCAGACTACATATATAAACTGTTTCAAAAAATAATTCCTGGTAATAGATTAAAATAGATTGCAGAGAGAAAGAGGTCTGGATAAATTGGAAATCAATTCTATACCAGTCATTACGGACAAATCATATTTAAGAGGTCTGAAAATGGAATTAAGCCTAGTGCAATTTTTCCTTCATTTCTTTGACATTACCAAAATCTGCTCTGTTGATCACATTTTCTTATCAACATGCCCAATACTTCAAATGTATCTCAAAAATTAACATGCACTGACAGGTTGAAACTGCTCCAGAAAGCACCTCTTCCTAATTGCCTGTGTAATGTTGGTCCCGGGATATAGGTCATCTCAACCATCTTCAAACTACTAAGAAGAATTTCTGGCAGGGTGGCAACTTAGATGCTGCAAGCAAAGGTCCCAGCTCTCCAAGCACTGCCAGCAGTGATCCCTGGACAGAGCCAGGAGTAGCCCTGAGCACCAACAGGGATGGCCCCAAAGATGATCACATGGCAAAGTCTCACCTGCTCACAGTCTAGAGTGCCCGAGACACATCTGAATCCTTCTACGTGAAGACTAGCAGTAGCTGAGCCCGCTGAGTCCCCTCCCTCCGCCATCAGGGACTGGCACGGCTTTCAGCCTGGGCCCACAGCTGGAGACTGTGCGACAGAAGGACCTGACACAGGGAACTGAAGTGGCCACTGAGGCCCAGGAGCAGTGGAGAACCAACTTCTGACCTGTTCCCCGCCCACCCCCTGGGCCCTGCCCCTCCCCTTCAGGGCCAGACAAAGGAGCAATTCAACACTAGAGTCACAGCGCCTCCTTCAGGAAAATAAAGGAACCAATCCAGACGCCAAAGCACAGGCTAAAGGTCTAAAAAATAAAATGGAATTCAAAGAGGAAGAGGAAGAAGGGAGAGGGGGGAGGCAGGGAGAAAGGGAGAGCAAAAGAAGTCTCCAGAGGACAAAATGAAAGACAGAATGGGATGAGGTAACCAAGATGGAGAAGATAAAAGTTAAAGATTCTTTAAGTTAAAGAATCTCAACTACACACAGAAGCGTGCCAAACACCAATTTTCAGGAAAGCACAAGGAGTGCTTCCACAGAGAAAGAGATGTTAAAAATTCCAGCAGAGACGCAACGTAGGAAAACCACAAATCACAGCAATGACTTAAACAGAAGAAAAACAAGGCTTCGGAAACAATGAAGGAAGCCCATAGGAAATACCCATTCCAGCAGAAAGGTAAATATCAGAAGGGAAAAAGAAAGAGAGCAGAAAATATATTCAAAGAAATTATAGGTTGAACGACCGAAGGAAAAGATCCCACCACTGCACAAACAAGGACAAGAAGCACTGAGGTTTCAGAGTCCAAAGAGGCCGGGCTGGAGCGATAATCCAGTGGGGAGGGCCATGCCCTGCAGATGGCTGACCCAGGTTCAATCTCCGGGACCCTATACTGTCCCCGGAGCAACACCAGGTGTGGCCCCAAAACCAAACCAAAGAGGAAAAACAAACCAGAATCCAAAGAGGCCCACCAAAACACAGTCTTGTTTATCAGAAATCAGTAATAAAGGAAAACACTGAAGGCAGCTAGGAAAAAGGAGTAAGAAACAGACCCCTCTGTCAGGGCTGATCAATCTCTCAGCAGAAGCCACAGGCTGCAGAGTGAAACACCAGACTTCAATGACTAAAAGGCAAAGTCGGCCAGTCAAGAATACTTTACCTAGCAAAATTACCATTCAAACATGAAGGAGAAATAAAGACAACAAAAGCTAATAGAGTTTACCACCACCAGATCTGCTCTAAAGAAATGTTGAAAGGAATTCTATACATGAAAAGATGAAACAAAAGATAGTAAAATCTTGTGCAAAGAGATAGTGATACAGTAACAGGAACAAAACAATGGTATGATGCAACAACAAAATTGAGGGGAAAGAGAAAAAGACAGAAGGACAGTCAAATGATGAGTAGATAACAGCCCAAAAGATTTTTTTTTGAATATAGGAAGAATGATACAATTCCCATGGTAACCACAAAACAAAAATCTGGAGCAGGGACATTTAAGGGAAAGAAAGAAAGAAAGAAAGAAAGAAAGAAAGAAAGAAAGAAAGAAAGAAGGAGAGAATCATCAGGGCAAACCATTCACATGAAAAGACATATGGGAACAAATGGGAGAAAAATCACAGAAACAAAGACAGACCCACAGTAAGCCCCATTACATGAATAATCACCCAAATGTGAGTCATCTCAAATAGCCCACCAAAAGACAGAATGGCTGGCTGGATTTTTAAAAGTCAAATAAAAACAGGATCCATCTATACTGTGCAACAGAAGTCTTATTTCAGATATAAAAACAAAAAAGAATGAAACCTAGAGC